TTAAAACTATGACAGTCAACTAATTATTCTTTGAGACAGGGTCTCATTATGTTGTTAGTCCAAGCTGGTCTTGAACTTACGAGGTAGCCCAGGCTGGCCTCAAACTCAAGGCAATTCTGCCCCAGCCTTCAATGTAGGGGAGAAGACCCAGAGCAAAACTGAATGATTCTGAGAACTCACAAAAAGGAGTCAAAATGAAAAGGCTGCCAAAAGAGGAAAAAAAATATTTATCTAGCACATGACTTGAAAATTAGAAATCAAAAACTCTGGAAATCTAATTTATTTAACTTTATTGCTTTTTAATTTTCCAGCATTGCTTTCAATTCTATTTTCTAAGCCCTACAAAATTATATTTTAATCTATTTCATTGAAAAGTAGAAGAAAGTCCAAATTATTTTTTTGCACTAAGGTGGCCTATTTATCAGTGTAAAGGTGGGCTGTTCTTTACCCCTGAACATACGCCCAGGCCTATCTTTTAGTCAAGCGCTGGATCATTGAGCTACCACCCTACCTTCAGTGCTAGATCCCCACCCCATACTAGGGATGGAACCCAGGGCTTCTCACTGACTTACATCCCCAGCCCTTTTTATTTTGAGGCAAGATCTCACGTAGGCAGGGCTCAAACTAGTGATCCTCTTGCCTTAGCCTTCTAGAGTGCTAGAATTTCAGGCATGGGACACTGTGCGCAGCTAAAACTGGGCTGGTTTTGGCATCTGGACATAAAAATATACAACTGTATCACTTCAGACCTTTTTTATAATAGGGGCGGGCCGGGGATTTAGCTCAGTGGTTTCACCACCTGCCTTGCAAGTGCAAGGTCCCAAGTTTGATCCCCAGTATAAAAAAAAAAAAAAAAAGTGAAAATTGGCTACCATTTATGATATTAATCTTACGTTAATTATAAGTAACCCATGGGGCTGGGGGTTTAGCTCAGTGGTTCCACTGCCTGCCTCCCAACCACAAGGTCCTGGGTTCCATCCCTGGTACCAAAAAAAAAAAAATTCATGTTTGGGCCAGGGGTTTAGCTCAGTGGTGCCACCGCCTGTTTTGCAAGTGCAAGGTCCCGAGTTCGATCTCTGGTACCAAAAAAAAGTAACTCCATTCAACTACATTTTTCATTATTAGGTAAAATTATAATAGCAAAGAATGGTGCTGCAGTTACCAAAGCTGGTTATTCATTCACTACACTCCAGTACGATTTCAGGAAGAGCACGTCCAAAGCGAAAGAAATTTTTAGTTTAAACCTAACTCAGTTATTTTCACCTGGTATAGGTGTATCTCCTGCTGTGTAATAAAATCACACCTGACTTAGAAGTGTAAAACCATCAACATTTACTGTTCCATAGTTTCTGTAGCTCAGGAATCTGGCAGTGGCCGACCTGAGTGGTTCAGCTCAGGACTTCTCAGCTACACTCAAGGTGGCAGCTGGGGCTGGTGCCTACTGAGGACCCCTTCCAAGCACACTGCTGGCGGTGTCAGAAGGAATCCTGTTCCTCACCATGTGGGCTTCTCTATGGGCCACTCACGATGAGGCTTCCTGCAGAGTGACTGACCCAAGACAACAGCTAAGAGTGTTGCAGTCTAACCTGGAAGTGGCACGCCATCACTTCCGCCATGGTTTACTGGTACAGTGGGGGAGGACACTGCTCAGGGATGTGACGATCTGTGACAGCAGCCCTGGGGGTTCCCATGGAGACCACCACAGAAACCTTGCTCCTCACCACACCTCTGAGAGGCAACATCCATGCGTAACAATGACTCACATTAGCTGTTAACTTAGGCTGAGTGACTGGCATTTCCAATTTGCAGGTAGAAGTAAGAAAAGCATGCACAGGGATTTGTATACTACAAAAGTCTCATGTGACATTTCTCTCACACTCACAAATGTCATTTTTTCCTACACTCACCATTTCCACCTCGCTTTCCTCCACCCCCTCTTTAGAGCCACTGGGTTAGCCCCTAACACACGGGCTGAGTGTTTGAGGGCTTAAGAGTTAACGTACTTACATTTGCTTTAAAGATTAAATAATTCTGGCTCCTTTAAAAAGCAAAGTGAGTCAAATAGGTCATTGATGTGAAGTTAATGGGACTTCAGCTAGAAATTACAATCAGCTGGGGTGGGTAGCACACTTACAGGACTCAAGTATTTTTTTAAAAAGGCAGCTTCAAAGCATGGTAAGGAAAAGCCAAGAAGGGGGGGAGACCAGGGAAAGTGGGAAGAGATAAAGACTTAGGTATGGCTTTGAAAAACAACAGGAGAAAATTTACAGTATTTTAATTCTCCAACCCTACCACTAATGTCGCATTTGTGGATACTCAGCTGAATAAAGCAAAATCACAGAAGGTCTGGAGTGCCCTTAACAAGAAAGAGCAGAATAAGTGAGCTGGAATCAGGGCTTTATGTAATGTGCTTTCTGTATCTAGGTGTCTTTCATTCGTTTTCACTTGCTTTATATAGCATTGTAACCATAGTTGTAGTTTCACCCTACCTACAATTTTACATTCTGTTTTAACAAGCTATAGCAGGAGAAATACATATTTTACTATTCAAACTCTACTGGTATTCATTCTTTGCTTCAACCCAGTGCTAGGTAAGAAGTCCCTATCTTCAGAAAACTCAGACGGAGAAAGCCGCACAGTATAAGGCCACAGGTACTTGAACAAAATTCTCCATAAGAACAGACAAAGGAAAGAGAAAATAGAAAAAGGGAACAAAATAAAACACTAGGAGGTTTAAAAGTTTGCATCAGGATTTATAAAAGTGGTCACTGGGGCCGGGGATGTAGCTTCGGTGGTTCTGCCACCTGACTCGCAAGCGCAAGGACCCAAGTTTGATTCGTGGTACCCAAAATAAAAGTGGTCATCGGTCAGCTCTTACTGTGCCTCCCCTGATCCCTTGGGCCCTCTCTCGTGGGCTTCCTGTTTCCTGAGTGCATAAGGGTAGGGCTGACTCAAGCTTTTCACGTTGTCTAGTATCCCACAAGTAAATATGCCAGTTGGCTTCGTCAGTCTCCCATATCAGGGCATTTAATGAACTTTTGGTTTGGTTGTTTGCCATTTTAATGTATAATGAACCTCTTTCGCATTCAGATTACATATTTAGCTATTGCTATGTATCTAATGACCCTCACTCATTATCTCACTTTCTGTGTGTCAGGAATCCAACAACAGCTTGGCTGGGTGCTTGAGCTTCAGGATCTCACACAAAGGTGCCATCAGGCTCTCAGCTGGGTGTGCAGTCACCTGAAGGCCTGACTGGGGGAAGGTCTGCTTCCAAACTCCCCTGTGGATGCCAGAAAGCCTCAGTTTCTAGCTGGCTTTTGGGACCTCAGTGCTCCCTAGGTGTCTAGTTGGTGTCTCTCTCTAGGGACTAGTTGGTGTCCCCAACAGCAAATGACCCGGGCGAGGGGGGGGGAGAGAGTGTGAGAGAGACAGCAAGCACCTGTGCCTGTTCCCCTATCCTCTCAGAAGTGACATACATGAGTTCTGCTGGTCCAGAGCATGACGTGGGAGGGGGCCACACAAGGGCATGGACACTAGGGTACAAGATCTAAAATCCTGGAGGCTGGCTGCCTCAGGCAGGACACACATACACGTGTATCCCCACAGGTTTCACCTAAGAGCGTGTGTGTGTGTGTGTGTGTGTGCATGTGACAGTGAGAGAGGGAGAAAGAGAAAAAGGATTTACATTTCAAGCCCAGGAGTGTAATTCCTGAGGGTAAGGGTGTTGACATTCTTTGAGGTTTTTGACCTAGTTAAGTCAAACGACATGAAATTGCTGTTTCTGTCGTTCTAGGCAAATCAAATATAGCTGATTTCATATAAGCCACCCTAATATGCACCACAAGTTTAGTTATGCTGGTTAATAAACACAAATATTACATATGACTTTTTGTGATCACAGCGTTACTATTTGGGGAGGGGGATGATGTTGAGGATCAAACCCAGGGCCCAGGATCAAGCATGCTAGGCAAGCCCTCTACCACTGAGCTATGCACCCCATCTTTCTCATTGCTTTCTAACAAATACCCGCAAAGCAGACACAGTACTTCTAAGTCAATGCTAGCCAAGAGAAATGTGAGCCACATAATATAAAATTTTAAAGTAACAACATCTAAAAGATAAAAATAGGTGAAATTAATTTTAATATACCTTACTGCAATATATCTAAAATGTAAGACCACTTTCCTATTGTCCTGGCTTCTTTTTAATGCTAACCTTTTTAGCAATCTTGCTCTCCTTTGCTCCAACTTTGCAGGTACTTCTTTTCTGACCATGATAAACTTTTAAAATGGGGTGTTTGTTCTTGATTCTAACTGTAAACCTGGCTAAAAACAGCCAGAAGTATACATGCCATCTCCTCAATGTTGGGCTGCTGTGAAATTTCTTCCACCAGATTAATTAGTCCACAAGCTTCAGTCTTAGTGTCCTGCAGTCTCAGGACATGTAGGCACATTTTCTACTAGAACATAATGTATGTGGCCTCAAGTCCAACCACCAATGGAGTCCTTGTTCCCCACTGAAACCTCCCAAGCCTGGACTTTACTCTCAGATTTCCCAACAGCATTTTGTTGTTCTGAGCTTTGACCAGAATCTCCCATCAAGCTTGGCTTGCAGCATTCTAGGGCTTCAATAGCCAGCATCTCCAAACCTTTCCAAACTCATCCCATCCCAGAAACTACTTCCAAAGGCTTCTAAACCATATGATCAGGTGTTCACAGCAACAGCCCCACTCCCAGTACCTTAGTCTGCCTTAGTCAACACTCACAATTTACAAGAGAGGCTTATTAGGGCTCACAGTTTCAGAAGTCTTGGTCCGTACATTGTCCACGGACTCCAAGGCAGAAATGATGTTTGGAACAATCGGAAGGGCCTGTGCAGAGGGAAGCTGCTCACATCATGGGGGTTAGGAAGCGGAGACCAAGGAGAGATGTCAGGGAGGGTGAAATAACTTTCCTGGTCATGCCCTCAGTGAACCACCCCTTCTGACTAGGACTTACCTTTGAAGAGCAAGTTAGCTGTGATCTAATAGCCTTCCAAAAGTCATTCCTTGGGCCGGGGATTTAGCTCAGTGGTTTCGCTGCCTGCTGCGCAAGCAGAAGGACGCGAGTTCGATCCCTGGTACCAAAAAAAAAAAAAGAAAAACAGAAAAGCCCTGCCTCTGAGCACATGAGAGTCTTGGGAGACAGTCTAGACCTAAACCATAATAAGTTTTAATACAGTACTCTAAACTCCTCCAATATTTGCCAAGCTGTCTGGATGGCCTTTGTGCCTATCTGTATGAAGTTTTCTACTTTAGATTTTAAAGTCCTAGAGGTAAGATTTTAGCCAATTTATTTTACTTTATACACTAAGAATGCTACAGTAACACACACAAGTGCCTCATACTTATTTAGGATTTATTGTTGATGGTGTTGTGAAAGAAACTTATCACTAGCTTGGGGGCTGGGGATTTAGCTCAGCAGTTTCGCCGCCTGCTGCACAAGCGCAAGGACCTGAGTTCAATCCCCAGTACAAAAGAAAAAAAGAAACTTATCACTAGCTTCATATGTAAAGTTATAGGCTTGAGTGACTTAGGAATCTGAGGTAAAATGATTATACTTTGTTCCATATTCTAAATTATTTTTAAAGTGTAAAAAAAATTCAGAAGGATTTTTTTTTTTGGTACCGGGGATCGAACTCAGGTCCTTATTAACCAATGTTCCTAACTAAACACAAAAACTAAAAATATAGAAGAATCATGACATGTTTAGACTAACATACAAACTGATCCTAGAAAATTACATATTAGATAACCACCAAATAAAACAAGGTTATAATTTAAATATTAACACATTTAGCCTCTATGCCCAAAGAACACAGAAGAAAATATTTCTTTTCCCTTTTTACCTTTTTCACTAATATCTAAATATAGATGTGATACATGTTATATATAATCTCACATGTCTTTTACCTCTATATTATGTGTTTTATGATCCCTCCAAGATAGAAGAGGTTATAAAAATTTTAAAAAACAAAAGATATTCAGAAATCAACATGTTTATTTACAGGCACCAGTAAAGATAGTAGTTATAGTGCCTATTTAAAAATTTTGTTCCTGGACCGGGGATTTAGCTCGGTGGCACCGTGCCTGCCTGGAAAGAGCAAGGTCCTGAGTTGCAATCCCTGGTACCACACACACAAAAAAAAATTGTTCCTGAAGTGAGGTCTTGCCCTGTTGCCTAAGATGTTCTTGAACAAGCGGGTCCTCCTGCCTCAAGTGGCTGGTACTGTAGTCATGCACCACCGTGAATTTTTAATTAACAGATTCTAGTTCCCTTTTCACCATCAATTCTTACTCTAAGACATAAAGTCCAAGGTCTCTAGCTCTTACCTACACTTTTTTTTTCTTTTTTGGTACCGGGGAATCGAACTTGGGTCCTTGTGCTTGCGCAGCAGGTGGCGAAACCACTGAGCTAAATCCCCGGCCCCTTACCTACACTTTTAACATTGATATTTGGGCTTTTAAAAGCTAATAACTTTGAAAATTGCTTGGAGAGTAGCTTTTTAGGTGTTTTCACCTCACCTTTTCAAAAGAGCTAATTACTGCTTTGTAAGCCATTCTACAGTATTTTCAGGCTATTGCTATTTGCACAAGTAGCATGAAAAGAATACTTGCAAAAATTTTGAATTGTAAAACTCTCTTCTCCTTTTCTTATTTCATTATTCCACATAAGATAGGAAACAATCAGGCTGGCTAGCTCTGTCTTGATTCCTCCCTTCCGCTGTCTACTTAGCAAGTAGGATACAGTCTTCCAAGGTTTCTGTAGAGTCCATGTCACCCAATCCCTGTAGGTACGGCTCATTGCTGGCCACAGCAGGCTCATCTCCTAAGTGCTACTGAGCTGGACATAAATCAGGACTGCAGAGAAAGAAGAGTCACATGTGTGGAAACCAGTTATCTGGGATTAAAGACAGCAGAATCTGCCAAGACTTTCAGAAATTACAAGGAGCTTGAAAAGAATGATGAGGCTTTGTATACTGCCCTTTCTCACAGTATACAAAGAAAGAATCTCTGGCAAGTTTGTGAGTATCTGTCATAAAGTACTGTGTGACCAGAATAAATCATCTAACATCAGTTTCGTCTATAATATGGCACATCAATAATTTAAAATTATAGACAACCTAATCCAAGGTACTGTACTCCTCCTGTCTGCCAGGCTTAAGAACAGCCACAAGTTTACTACCAAGATGCTTCCATTTGTAAGCTAATGCTCCCAAAATACTTAAAACTTACTCTTCAGCCAGACATGGAAGGCCAGTACACAAAACACTGCAAGATTCCTCCTCCCACACTTCCTCACACTTCCAGCTCAGGCCATGCTCTTTCCGTGGTCACCTCCACATTGAAGGTCACTGGAAGCGCTCCACTGAGCTACAGGGCTCCGAGCAGCAACCCAGGCTGGGAAAAGCTGGGGGAGTCAGGGAAGGGCAGGGCCTGAGGCCTCGGGAGGTGTCTCTCAGATGCTGGGCCAGCAGGTGAGGAACCCAGTGCTGCACAACCCCTGTCCCTTCTGCCTAGCCCCTCATACTTCCATCAGCAGAGGTTCCCTGGACACCCTCCATCTCCCAAAGCAAGATGGTTCCTGGAAACAGGAAGAGACTTGACATTGGTTAGGTAAAGAGAAATGTCAACAGAACAGTTCCGCAAAGCGGGAAAGAGTAGCAAGGAGGAATGAAACAGACAACCAATCTGAGAAGAATTTACCTCAGCCTTCAATAAGAACAAGGAAAAAGATTAAGAAATAGCTCATTTATCTTCAAAGTGAGAGGTAAATATTATCTTACATAGTAGTATTTTAGTCCCTGATATAAAATGATAGGTAATACTAGACTGTCATAGTATAAGAGCATCATTTGTACAGAGATGGAGAACAAAAACCCAAAACATCATTTCACTGGCAACCAGCAACCCCCATTCCCTTTGGTTGTCAGTAAAATGTTTTGAAATCGTTACAAATTTTGGTTTTCAAAAAAGCAAAAGTCAGATAATTCCTATTGGCTGTTCTCTTCTACTGTACACTTATTTTTGCTTCTGATACATAAAACATTTTCCTTCTACTGCCTTTAAGTACACTTTGTTTTTTTGCTTCTCAGTTTAAGGTCTAAATATTTCCTAAACTATCTAATCAAACATTGTATCATTGATATATATATATATATATATTTTTTTTTTTTTTGGTACCGAGGATTGAACTTGGGACCTTGTGCTTGTGAGGCAGGCGGCGGAACCACTGAGCTACATCCCCAGCCTGTATCATTGATATTAAGAAGAAAATTGAATAATATCCTCCCCATTAACCTCAATATATTTTACCTCTAGGAAATCATTAATCAGGTAATTTGGAGGTAAACCCTCTATTTTCACTGTTTTGGATGTGAGTGATAACTTCTTCCCTGTCTTACTAGATAACGATTCCCTTTCCTTCTGAGAAATCTAGGCAGTAATCTCTTCTGGGAGCTTCTGGGTCCCAGGCCCCTAACTACTGTGAAATTATTGAAATTACAGTGGGAATTCTGTGTGAGAACCAGATTATAGCAAGAAATTGGAATGAGATCCCTAAGTCAGATTCTATTTATGAACTATAATAATTTCAACCAGCCTCAACAAAAGGACAGAATGAAAAGGTTATCTCTGGCCACCTGCCTGACAGTGTATCTGTATTGCTGTCCCTCAGTGCTCTTTTGCACTGAAATACTCATGTCACAATCTGTGACATGTCCCTCTGACATATCAAAAAACTTACTGAATCCTCTCATACAGTTTCCAGAGATAACCAGTTTGTGATTTAAAACACTGCCTTGGTTTTTTTTTTTTTTTACTCAATATGTACTAAACAACAGTATTAAGGTGAACCTGTTTGGAAAACCAAATTCTAGATATTAAAGAAATTCAATATATAAATTCAGAATCATTCTAAGCACAACAATAGTTTTCTTTCTCAATCTTGTTTTCTACAATTTTATTTCTATTCTGTCTCCAGTTATATCACCACTTTAACAACTAAAACACAATTGTGGGAGGGTCTCTTCCCTCTTTCTGTTCTTTCTCAATACATTCTGAAATTATTATTATTTTCTAAATTTTTAAAATAACTATTAAACACACACATACAAAAATTAAAACCATTCAAAGAACAATGCAAAAAAAACCCTACAATAATATTCAAATACAGTAGAATTCAACCAAAACAAAACTGAAAAGCACTTAAACATTTTTTCCATATAACTTAAAAAAGCATCTCAAGCCACCAACAAGACACCAGAGGATGTGATTTGTTTCAGAAAGATCCCCAACACCAACACTGAACAAACAGTGGTCTGGAAAAGAACTCTGGTTAGCTGGCAGACTCCACATAAGCCAAGCTTCTCCCTAATTTAAATTTCAATACAGTCATATGACATGCAATGGGAACACAATCCGAGAAATATGTTATTAGGCCATTTCATCCGTGTGTATGCTTATTTACACTATCAGTTTCTCACACTAGAGAAACTATTCAGTATTTACACATGTATCCTATTTATTTCACTTAAGAGCATGGCCTCAATATGCATCCATTTAGCTATAAATATTTCTAGTTTCTCATTCTTTATGGCTGAGTAGTACTCCATTTTATTACAAAACCACATCTTCTTTACCCAGTTTCCAGTTGATGGGCAATTGGGCTGTTTCCAAGCTTTCACTATTACGAACTGTGCAGCTATAAACATGGGTGCACATATATCACTGTGGTATGATTCTTTTAATTCTTTTGGGAAGATATCTGAAATTATTTAGTAGAGCTGTATGGGATACTAGTTAACACGGGCTTGAGAGTCAGATAAATTTAGACCCAAATTCTTGTCTAAATCACATAATTCAGGCATTTTCTCTAAGTTACACTTTTTTTTTTTTGGTACCAGGAATTGAACTCGGATCCTTGCACTTGCGAGGCAGGCGGCAGAACCACTGAGCTAAATCCCTGGCCCTGTTACTTTCTTTCTTCATTTAACAAGGATAATACCATCTACCCAAGAGCAGCTGTTCTCAAAATGAGATAACATATTTGAAGCACAAGGGACAGAGAGCTATATATTTATTGCTTAATACATAATAGATACATAGGTAAACAGATAAATATGGAAGTGAAGAAAAATATCCTTAATTGTACCACCATACTAATACAAACACATTTCTTTGTATTTTATGTCCAAATAAAACATATTTTACATCATAATTGTAAAGCCCAGTTTTATCACTTTTCACATTACTTTCATATTATCATGTAGGGATATAACTACCCTTTTACTTTGTCACATGAAATTCCATTAAGTAGATTACAATAACTTAACCACTAAATTTCTGCCAAATATTTGAGGAATTTTGCTATTACATATAATGGTACAATAACATTTTCATGAGGCTGGGGATTTAGCTCAGTGGTTTGGGTGCCTGCCTCGCAAGCACAAGGGCCCAAGTTCAACTCCCCGCTACCAAAAACAAAACAAAATTTTCATGAATATAGCTTTTTTTATTCAGTGAGATTCTTTCCTTAGGATGAATTTCTAAAGCAGGCTTTTTAGGTAAAGCATGAGCTCTTTCATCATTTAGTTTTGGTAAACTGCCTTCCATGTGTTTATGCAACCTGTAGTTCTCCAATGCCATAAACTTTATTTTTATTGAAATGGGTCTTGCTTTTTTTTTTTTTTTTAAGTTTTTTTGAGACAGGGTCTCACTCTAATTCAAGCTGGCCTCGAACTCATTGTGTAGCCTAGGCTGGCCTCAAACACAGCTGGTATTATAGCCACGCACCACCATGCCCAGCTAAGCTGGCCTGAAACTCACCATCCTCCTGCTTCAGTGTCTTTCAGCCTCCCAAGTAGATGAGTTCACAGGTACATGCCACCACTGCCTGGCTAAATGTCATAAACACTATAATGTCCTCTTCAAGAGCCAGTATTCACACTAATACCTTCCATTTGCTAAGTACTTACCATATGCCAAACACTGGTCTAAGGGCTTTACATATATTACCTCCTCATCCTCACACCACATCTCTAGAGTAACTACCATTAGTGACCCTCTTTTGCAGACAAAGATGTTAAGATTCAAACATTTAAAAGCCACGTCCAAGGTCACACGGCAGTAAGTGATAGTACATGGACTCACACTGAGAGCTGTCTACAACCACAGTCCTCTTAAACATTTGGCTATACTGCTGCCTTACTCCCCCACCCCATAATAGTAGATGGAAAAGAATATTTTATTAATGTTTTAAACTACAATTTGTCAGGCTGAGGATTTAGCTCAGTGGTTCTGCCGCCTGCCTCGCAAGTGCAAGGTCCCAAGTTCAATCCCCAGTACCAGGAAAAAAAAAAGTAAACTACAATTTGTTGATTGCTATTAAGGCTGATTATTTTTACATGTTTTTTTTTTTTTTAAACCCTCCATTTTCTTTCTATGTTCACAAGCAATAAGGTGGCGGGGCGATCCCATTCCCTGTGTATTTCTTCTTATTCGGGTGTCAGCACAGCCTCTCCAGGAGAGGCCTCGGTCCCTCCTTGATGACTTCGCAGAGATCCCAGTTCCTAGGAAAAGGCGCCTCTTCTCCGCCTCCTTCCAGCCCAATGGGAATGGAAGACACACATTTTCCCAGTGATGTCCAGGTCGTCACTCACTCCTGTGGGGTGGCTCCTGGCTGTCCTGGAATGCTCACTCCATCAAGAGGGAGGGCACAGACCCAGTGCACCCATTGAGGGCTGCAGACTACAATAATCTTTGTAACTGAACAAATGCACCACGGTCTTTGAGACTCTGCACCCTTTTTCTCCCTCTCTTTAAATTTCCCTTCTGCCAGGGATTTAGCTCAGTGGCTTCACTGCCTGCTGCGCAAGCACAAGGACCCAAGTTCGATCCCCAGTACCAAAAAAAAATTAAAAAAATAAAAATAAATTTCCCTTCTGCTCAGGTACTTTGTGAACACGTGATCCAAACAAAACATCCTTAAAACCCCATCTACAGTTCACTAAATCTAAAAACTGGACTGACTTAATAAATTTTGCTCCCTTACCTGAATTACGTCTTGAAATACATGGAGCGCCCAGGCTGCAGCCTCCTTGACTCCAGGGTCAGTCTTCCTGAGCACATCACCAGCACGCCCAGGGCTCCGCAGCCCACTGCAGCTGACCTCGCCCGGAGAGCGCTCACCAACTGCTCACAACACAAGGCACCTGCTTTCTTGTAGAACCACTACAGGGAAAGAGAGGCCAAACCCAAGATGAAGTGTGCACTCACACACAATCTAAAGTAGAACAAAAGGAACATTAAAATGACATTAATATAAATAAAGCTCAATTGTTTTTTAATACAAAAGATGAAAAACACCCTGAAAAGTCATTTTGTAGTTGACTTTTTTGTTTTTTGGTACCGGGGATCGAACTCCGGTCCTTGAGCTTGCGCAGCAGGCAGTGAAACCACTGAGCTAAATCCCCACCCCTGTGGAAAAGTCATTTTGATTTTTATGGTCACCCATCTCTTCTGTTCGGTAAACTAAAAACAAGGTCAGTTTTAAATTACATTTCAAGTGTTTTACTCTGAAACATGCATTTAAAAATGCTACAGAATAAAAGACACTGTACTTTCTACACATTCATGAATTAAAGAGACTGTAAGTGTCTGTATGACACTGAAAAGTACTGTCTGATCCATGAGAACTCTTGGATTGTTAGCAGGTCTAACTAAACTCTGCCAACTGACCAAGCCATTCCCTTTCCTTGCCCTTGGTGTCTAAGTGTGGTTTCAGGACCTCAACTAATTTTTCTGGTATCCCAAGTTATCCCAAAATAACAACCATGTTCCAAGATGCACTTATAAGTCATCACATACACATAAAGGCAAAACATTCATTAGGTGTTTTTAAACTTTCTGGCAAATAAGCTAAACAATGAGATATAAGTTGTATCCTCGAGAAATTTTTTTTTTTAAATAGAAAAATTACCATTCTGTGAATTTTTATTTTTTTTATTTTTTTATTTTTTCCCCCATTAAGTTTATTGGTACGTTTTAGGTATAAAATACAGTTGCATTCATCATTGGGATCTTGTACCATTACATGAGTATCTTGGTTCTTATGTTTTTCCCCTTCCCTCCCTTCACCCCCTCCACCCTTCCCTATTTGCAAAGACTTTGTTTCCATTTTTTTCCTTTTCTCATATTTTTTCCTTTCCCTT